GGAATCCTTCAGCTGGTGGAAGCTGCCCGCACAGACCATGCCAGAATCCAGGTGTGGGTAGAAGAGGGTGCACTTCCTGCGGCTGTAGATGGACACTTTGGCCTCAAAGAGCTTGTTGGTGGCCCTGTCCTCGTCGATCAGCCCCCAGCCTGCAATCATGCACTTGGTGCCCGTGGGGAGGTCGCTGCCCGTCCTGGGCAGGGAGATGGGCTGGATGTACTCGTTGAGAGCGACCTTCGATGTCAGCTAGGGAAAAGCAGGGGGTTGAGAGAGTGTCCTGCCCTCCTGGGAGCAGGGCACTCACTTTGCAGAGACAGGGAGGGTTTAGCAGGCTCAGGGAGCTGCTGTGAGAGCCACATGAGGCTCCAACCCCTGCCCATGGCTCCTTCCCTGGTCCCTCCCTGCCCTGCCAGCCTCCAGCACCTTGGGCAGGAGCAGCTTTGGAGAAGGAGCTGACAGACAGGACGAGGCCTGCCCAGCCCCTGGTGGCCCCACAGCCCCTCTGTCCCCTCAGAACTCCTTGCCTGCAGCAGCATGATGTCGTTTTCCATCGTGCTGGGGTTGTACTCGGGGTGCTCGTGGTACTTGAGGACTCCCCGGACCTGCTGGGTTTTTTCTGGTTCGTGGATGTTGTGAGCCCCCAGGATGACTGTGATATTCCTGACCATGGCAGAAGGAGGGGGAAAGGGGAAATCGGGCTGGGTGTCACCCCCTCCCCACCTCATTTTGGCAGGCAGGTGGAGAGAGCTGCCCAGCACAGGAGGGACCTGCTCCAAAATTGCTCCAGGGAAGGAGCTCCCAGGCTAGGGGAGAAAGAAAGGGATGAAACCCCTGCATCAATACTCACCCCATGCAGTGTGCAGCTGACATCACCCAGTCAGGGGCCACCAGGAAGCCCCCGCAGCCCCCCAGCTCTGCTATCTTCAGGAACGCCATGTACGGGTGCGAGTGGGGCTGCGCCTCGTGGCCCCCCACAATCCCACCCCGCAGAGCACCTGCAAGACACCCCAGCACAGCATGAGCCAGGGGCTGCTGAGAGCCCCCAAGGAGCCAGCTCGCCCCCAGCAAAGCCCTGACTCACTGGCACTGGCCCAGGGGCAGCAGAGCAGGAGCAGCAGGGCTGGCACTGCCTGGGGCTGGCACATCTCTGCCACGCCTGGGTGCCCGCTCGGGTGCAAGTCCTGAGTTTCCCCGTGTGCCAGGAGTTGGTTTTATAGCTTGCAATGTGTGCCAAGCAGCCAGGAAACCACGTGCAAAGGGCTGATTGGGTTAATCAGGGCATCTCTGGCCTGGCCTGCTCGGTGCCCACGTGCCCCTGGCTGGCATTGATGGGTGATAGCCCAGGGTGGAAAGGACAGGGCAGGCAGAGCCCTGTCACAGTCACACCCCCCTGAGGCTGTGACAGCACAGTCACAGCCTCAGGGGGTGCTGGCAGCAAGAGAAAGGTGTTCTCTGGTGGTTTTGAGGTGCGATTTCATATTTCTCCCACACTTTCTGTTTAATGTTTTTGCCCTGAGGAAATGTAAGGTTCTAAAAAAAAAAGGCCACTTAAAAAAAAAATCAGAAAAACTTGGCCATTTAAAGTTCGTTACTGTGGTCTAGAGGAGACAATCCTGAAACTTGCTCTTTCATATTCTTGTTTTCCTTTGAGAGGTGCTCTGCAGAGCCTCTTTTCCTACAGAGATCCACCATCACCCCAGCCAATTTAAATGAAAGGGCACAACAACTGTGCCTGGGATGGTTTTTGAGCACTGTGAAAAGTCAGATCTGCAGGGTTTGGGTCAGCCCAGGTCAGAGAGGCCTTCCTGGCTCTTCGTGGCTCCTCTGGGGCCAAAGCATCCTGCCAGCCTGGGGACTGGGATGTGGGAAGTGCTGCTCTGCAGAAGAGACCAAAGCGGGGAAGTGCAACCACTCAACTGCCAGGAGTGATCAGTCATTTTTAAACCAAGCCTGCTCCACCCTTCCTGGAGCAGAAAAACACCTGCAAGTGGATGCCTTGGGGCCATGCAGAGGGGACAGGAGGGGTGCATGAGCAGGGAGAGATGTGGGACAGAGATGGAGATGCCTGATGTCCACGAGCCAGCCTGGGGGCTGCCTGACACAGCTCTCCACAGAGCTGAACCCATGTTTTGGTTTTTTAAATCATAATATCTGAAAGCACAGGCTTTAATCAGGACTGTGCAGCAGCACAGCAGGAAAACCTCAAGAGGAATCATCGATATTTTATCTTGTGTTTGTAACTTGCTGTCTTTGCCCTGTGGCTGGAAACCCTCCTGGGAGCAGCAGCCCCAGGACAGGAGGGACAGGCCATGGGCACAGGGAGCTGAGCTGCTCTCCTGCTCCTCTCTGACTGCTGACAAGTTCCTCTCTCTGAGGTCAAGGCATTTTGGCCTTCCTGTTGACCTCTGGAGGGTTCCAGGGCTTCTCTGCTGAGGAGCCTCATCTCATTATCCATCAATACCTGCTTTAGGCGTGGAGCTGGAGCAGGTCCACAGGGCTTCAGGTGTCCCTCGTGTGTCCCCTGGCCCTTCCCAGCGCAGCAGTCAGGGCCACCAGGCAGCTTCAGGCAGATTGTGGCTCTGATCTGAAGGAAGAGGTGAGAAACCTTGCAGGAGGGGGTGTCCCTCCCCTGCCCTGCCCCTCTTGGCTTCAGAGCAAGAACATCTGAACTGGGAACAGCAGAGGAGAAGGGCCAAGATCCAGCTCAGGCTGGGACTGTGCAGAGGGCAACGGGGACAAGACAGAGCAGGAACTTCTTCATATGGGGGCTCAGACACCATTAGCCCACAGTCATGGATGTGTTCGTGGAAGGGGCATTTTTTAGGAAGATCCTTCAATGTTTTGCTGGTCCAGAGAACCTGAACACCAAGGGTGAGGGAGTCAAGCTGTCCCAGCAGCTCATCTGCCTCAAGCCCTCCTGCCCTCAAAAGAGTTTGCCTGCCCCATCCTCTCCACAGATCTCTCAGGAACCTCTGAGACTCCTCACACACTGCCAGTCTTGGAGAAGCTACTTAGAGCCCCTGACAAGGCAAGTTTCTCCATCCTCTGATCTTTCAGGAACATTCCACTGTTGGACAATACCCTTTTCCTGACCCAGAGATAACCCAGACCCAGATCCAGAGACCCAGAACTTTCTATCAAGCCCTAAAAACCTCTCTACAGATCCATTTCCCAAAATCAAGCCCTAAAATCTCTCTACAAATCCATTTCCCACATTCCACCAGCTCCGTCCTGAGCAGACACGTGAGCTGGAGGTTCCCCCTGAGGCAAGAGCACAGCTCACAGGGGTGATGTGCCAGGGTCACCCTGACCCTTTGGATTCCAGGGGTCTGGAGAGGGTTTGGGAGCGAGCTCCTGGTGCTGAACATGCAGCCCTGCGCTCGTGGCCCTTCCTTCCTGCTGATTTCCGCTCCTTCAATCTCGGGTCATCTGCTGACCTTATCACTGTGAGTTTCTTTCCACACTGCTGATAGAAAAGGCCAAAACCCCAGCTGAAAGGGTGAAGGTGGAGGATGGAGCCCTCAGCTTTTGGTGAGAGCCACTCGTGCTTGCACCTGGCTTCCTGCAGGAACATCCTTTGCATTTTCCTCCTGTCTGTGCTGCCATCCGGGCTGGGATCAACCCATGCAGGGATGGATGGGCTCCCTGGACAGCTCCCTGCTGAGGGGAGAGCTCGCTGCTCTTTGCTCTCAGCCTGGGTCATCTCCATGGCTTCCTGGCAGTCTGCAGGGAGAGCCCAGGGGCAGCAGGGCACAGCTTCTGCTGAGATCCTGAGTTAAAAGGGGCCCTGCTTTTCTTTCATCTCAGCCACTCTGCAGCTGATTTGGGTGGGGTCCACCCTGCACAGAAATGTGGTTGATGTTGTAACTTCCCCTTTTTTCACTTTGATAGGTAGAAGCCTCACTTATTTTGCACAAGGAGCTGTCCCCACTACCTGCACCGTGCTGGGCCTCAGACAAGGAGCTGGAGAGCACTGCTGAACCTCCCTCGGGCAGCAAGAGCCCCTCAAAAGCCATGACAGGTGAGTCCTAAGGCAAATTCCCAGCCACAGTTGGGAATAGCACATTCCAAGGCTCTCCTGTTGAGTTTTGCCAACATAAGGAATTAGGCCAATGCTGGAAATCAACATTTCAGCCATGCTCTGGTTCCTTGGTTCTGGTCTCAGTACCTTGTGCCTCCTCAAAAGTGAGAAGCAGCAGCTTTTTGCCTCCTTCCCTGCCTGTGGGAGGATCCTGACCCATCTCCAGCAGGTGCTTGGTGAGTTGAAGGTGTAGCAGGAGTGTCAGGGCACGTGCTCAGCTTGGAGAAGCTGGTTTCCTTTGGAGTGGAGGGGCTGAGGCTCAGCTGCAGCCCCACAGGTGCCAGGAGCTGCTGCACAGACAGGATGGATGTGTCTGGATGTGTTCTGAGAGAGTGACAGCACAGATCTTCCTCCTGAAGAAGGAAGAGGGATGATCTGGGCATGGCACAGGGCAGCAGTGGCTCTCTGCCAGGCTCAGGGGTGAGCTGAGTAGCACAGCAAGCAAAGCACTTTGTGTCTCAAGCTCTCTGGGTGCTTTCACCAGCACTTGGATCTGTTCAGCCCCCCAGACCCCACCCATCAAGGTGTTGCCCTTTTTGACACAGCCTGCTCCAACCCTGGCATGTTTCTTCTTTCATGTCACACCTTCACAACCACAGCAAAGCTGAGAATAACCAGACCCTTACCAAGAAATGATGACAGCTGTTAGAAGAGATGTCAATATTGTCAGTCACAACAGGAAACTTTATTAAACAACAGGAAGCCCATGCTTATGGGTGGACTTACAAAACACCTCACCCTCCTCTCCCCTTGCTCTTTCAGTGCTGCAGAGCTGGCAGACAGGGCTCTGACTCTCACCTCCACTGAGCAGAGCTGGGTTCAGCTTCACAGCTGCTCCAGCCCTCAGACAGAGGGTCTGCTGTGCACCTGACCCCTTCCTGCATCGAGCATCCCCTGACTGCTGCCCCAGGCTCAGAAGATGGCTGCTCCAGTGCTGGGCTGGCTGGTGAATCACTCCCTCCTCCTTCCCCTGGACTCTGCTCAGCTGCTGGGGACAAAATCCTCCTGCCTGCAGCTGGCCGCCACGAGGAACGTGAACATCATCCTGCAGCACTACAACTTCTCGGGCAAGCTCACCGCCCGGCACTCCGGCGACGAGGGCATGGGGCTGCTCCGCACGGCCTTCGCCATCATCAGCTGCCTCATCATCCTGGAGAACCTGCTGGTGCTGCTGGCCGTGCTGCGCTGCCTGCGGGGCCGGCGCTGGGTCTACTCCTGCATCGCCAGCATCACCCTCAGCGACCTGCTGGCGGGCATCGCCTACCTCTGCAACCTCTGCCTGTCGGGCAGCAAGACCTTCCAGCTGTCCCCGCAGCTCTGGTTCCTGAGGGAGGGCATCCTCTTCATCGCCTTGGCCGCCTCCATCTTCAGCCTGCTGGTGACGGCCGTGGAGCGCTACAGTGCCATGGTGAGGCCCATCGCGGAGAACGAGGCCAGCAAGACCCTGCGCCTGCGCGGCCTCATCGTGGCCTGCTGGCTGCTGGCCCTCGTCATCGGCCTGCTGCCGCTGCTGGGCTGGAACTGCCTCTGTGATTTCCAGGCCTGCTCCGTGCTCCTGCCTCTCTACTCCAAGGATTACATCCTCTTCTCCGTGGTTATGTTCAGCATCATCCTCCTGGGTATCATCGGGCTCTACATCTCCATCTTCCACCTGGTGCAGGCCAGCTCCAGGCAAAGCTGCTCCCGGCACGGCCGCCGGCGCTCCCTGCGCTTGCTGAAGACGGTGCTGATGATCCTGGGGGCCTTCATCCTCTGCTGGAGCCCACTGTTTGTCCTGCTGCTCTTCGATGTGTTCTGCAACACCGGGGCCTGCAGCCACCTGCACAGCCTGGACTGGACCCTGGCTCTGGCCCTGCTCAACTCGGGCGTCAATCCCGTCATTTACTCCCTGCGCAGCGTGGAGGTTCGCCGTGCCGTGGGGAGCCTGCTGTGCTGCTGCTGTGTCAGGGCTGGGCTCTGCAGGCCCGGCAGCTGCGTGGCCATCTCGGACATCAACTCTGGCTCCTCCACGGAGAGTTCCCTGCGCTGCCGGGACAGCTTCCGCGGCTCCGTGGCCTGGAACGCTCGGCCCAGGGCGCCTCTGTCCAGCAACTCCAGCATGATGAGCAATCTGCCCAGTCTGTGAGGGGCCACGGGGAGGGCAAGAGGTGCCAGACAGCCCCCAGGACCTCATGGTGCTGCTGCTGGCCTGGCAGGACTGCAGCAAGGCCGGCCAGTTGTGAGCTGGACCAGGACTTGCAGCCCAGGGACAGGAATTGCTCCTAGGCTGGGAGTGAAAGACACAGGCACATTTTGGGATTGGTGCTCTGCTGGGACAGCTGCAGTGCTCAGGTTCTCTATGTGCTTTGGGTGTGCAGAGGTGTTGTAGCTGCCCACCTGAGGGTGTTTTGCCCCAGGCCATGCTGGCAAATAGGGTGGATTTTCCCAACCAGGTGGCCCTTCCAAGCCTTTGGAATCCTTTTGGACCTTCTGTGATGGGCACAGCTGCTGGGAAGGAATGCAAGCTTGATGTTCTGCCCAGCCTGAGGATGGCAGAGGGCTGCAGCCACAGCCCAGACTCTCCCCAGGGTGCAGAGGCTGGGCACTGAGCCAGGGCAAATGCTGTGACCGTGGTCAGAGCTGCAGTGACAGGGCTGGCACTGGCATGGGCAGAAGGAGACTGGGGAGCGTGGTGCCATCCTGGGCCTGAGGACACAGCCAGCTTGTGCCTCAGATCCCTGCTCTTCTGTTCTCCCATGTAGGGAATCACCAGAGCAGCACCCAAATGCCTCCTCTCACCGTGCCAGAAGGCCACAAAAGCACTGGGGACTCACATAAATCCTGCTGGCCCAGCCCCTCTGCGAGAGCTGAGTGTGCAGCCCATTTGTTTTGCAATAAATCAAGGTGATCAGAAAGCCTGGGGTTGATTTCCTTAGATTTTTTCCTCTGGAGGCCAGGTACTGCCTGGGGGATGTTTTTGTAGTCTGGGAACAGCTGGAGCTGCCCTCCTGTTCTCGGGACAGGGGGATTGCCCTGCTCAGGGGGCAGCAGGAGCCTCCTGCCTGGTCCTGTTCATCCCATCCTGTCCTGTCCTGTCCCATTAATCCCATCCTGCTCCATCCTGTTCATCCCATCCTGTCCCATCCCACCCCATGAATCCTGTCCTATCCCATCCCATGAATCCTGTCCTATCCCATCCCATGGATCCCACCCCATGGATCCCATCCCACCCCATGGATCCCATCCCATGGATCCTATCCCATCCCGTCCCATGGATCCCATCCCATGGATCCCATCCCATGGATCCCATCCCATGGATCCTATCCCATCCCGTCCCATGGATCCCATCCCATGGATCCCACCCCATGGATCCCATCCCATGGATCCTATCCCATCCCGTCCCATGGATCCCATCCCATGGATCCCATCCCATTCCAAGGATCCCACCCCATCCCATGGAACCCATCCCATCCCATGGATCCCATCCCAAGGATCCCATCCCACCCTATGGATCCCATCCCATGGATCCCATCCCATTCCAAGGATCCCACCCCATCCCATGGAACCCATCCCATCCCATGGATCCCACCCCACGCCATGGATCCCATCCCATGGATCCCATCCCATCCGCTGGGGGGCGCCCGGAGCTCCGTGAGGAGCGCGCCCCCTGCAGGCCAAGGCGGGGCCGTACCGCGGCCAGCATGGTGTGCCGCGACTACAATTCCCAGCGCCCCTCGCGGCGGCGAGCGAACTACGGGTCCCGGCGTGCCGCGCGGGGCGCGCCGTGCGTGCCGAGCAGGCCGCAGTGCGGGCCGGGGCCGCGGCGATGCTGGAGGAGGCGGGCGAGGTGCTGGAGTCGGTGCTCAAGGCCTCGTGCCTCCCGCTCAGCGTTCTGCTCTTCGTGCCCGCCGTGCTCCTGCTCCTGGGGCCGCCCCCCGCCGCCGAGGCGGCGCATGAGTTCACGGTCTACCGCATGCAGCAGTATGAGCTGGGCGGGCAGCCCTACGGTGAGGAACTGCACGGCCCGGCCGGGCTCGGTGCTGTCGGCAGCGGCTCCTTCAGGGGTGGTGGGGCCTGGGGAGGGAGCCCCGAGCCCGGGGAGCAGCCCAGGGCAGGCCGTGAAGCCGCGGGCGGCCCGTGGAGGGCGGCCCGGCCTAGGGGAGGGCTCGGGTGGGCTCGGGGGGCTCTGGGAGGCGGCAGCAGCCGGGCCCGGGGCCAGGCCCAGCCCCGGGGCAGGCCGCAGGAGGGCCCCGGCGGGCCGGGTTTCACTGCCCAGGCTCAGCACGAGCGGGAGAGGGGCCGGCAGCTCCATCGTGGTGACCTAGAGGTAGCCAAGGAGCCCTGGGTGTGGGCTGGGGGCTCTGGGTCCTGGGGGACTGCTGCATCCCTTCCCCGTCCTGGTAACCTCGGTTGTGGGCTCAGCTTTGCCCTTCTGCCTTTGACTCCTTTATCGACTGGTTGATTCCTCTTTGCTCCTCATCCTCTTCATCCTCAGCTCTGTGTTGCTCCAGTGGCTCCATTTCAGAGCCCGTCCTTCCCCTGTGTTAGAACTGACCTTTACTTCCTCTGTTCTCTCACTTGCAGCCTGCTGATTGTGCAACACCTTTCTCTGGGTCAGAGACACACCCTGTTCTGCAAGTCCTTGAGGTGTTGCAGCCCTCAGCCTCCTCCCCGGTGTGCCCACAAACCCAGAATCAAAGGTTGTTTCTGGGTCTTCTGCAGTGATTTTATTCCAGGCCAGGGCATGTGTTCTGTCTGTGGGTGACTCTTCCTATAGAGCTAACAATGAACAGCCTCACGTTTAATTTGTGCTGTCCGTGAGACACCATCTCTCATTCTTTCAGATCTTCATAAGTTCAAATATGTAAGATATGAAATGCAGCTGTGCCTGTGTACTTCTTAAACGCTTCACTCTTCTGCTGGCTTCTAAATAAATGAAATTCGTTCTGGGTTCTCCCATCACAGTTTCTCAGAAGGTGTCCACATCTTGAGGGCTCTCTTGCTGACAGCCTCAGGAGCTCCAGGGCAGGCCCTGCATGGGGGTAGGACTCTCTCTTTGCTCAGGTGCTGGGAGCTGTTTGTTGACAGGCTTAGCAGGGATGTGGTTCAGCTCACAATTTTGTGACCTCTTGAAAAGCCAGGTGTTATTTTTTTAAGATGCTTCCAGTTAACTTTTTCTGCTGTTTCTTTTCCTGGAGCCTTTTAGCTCGGTGGGCTGTGTGTTTCCTTTGTTCCTTCCTGGGACAGGAAGGGTACTGCTGCTGTTCCTGTTCCTTGTGTGTTCTGAGATGTCCTTCAGGATAAAGCTGCATTTCAGAGCAGTCTGAGTTGGAAGGGACCCACAAGAAGCACAGAGTCCAACTCTCAAAGGGAATGACCCACAGAGAGATCAAACCCATAACCCTGGTGTTATTAGCATCATGCTCTGACCAACTGAGCTGATTTGTTGTTCCAGCTCTTGTATTATTTTCCAAAAATACCCAGTAACAGGTTGCTGCTCAGCCTCTTCTTGCAGAGGGAAGATTTTTTTTGTCAGTATCACTCACAGAGCAATTTAAGAACAAGCTTGGTCTTCCTCTAATGCTGATAGAATGAGAATTCTTTAGTTTGTAAACGAGTGATTCCTAACCAGTTCTCTGTAGAGAAGCTACAGAGAATCAACCTGTCAGGAAAATACTGTTGTGTGTGCTCTGCTTGGATGTCAGAGAGAGCAGAACTTCAGGTGCACACGTTGCTGTGTTTATACACATTCCTTTGGGAATGGTGGAGGGATTATCCCCATTTTGAATTGTTTTTCTCTGGTTGGACTGGGAATGCTGTTAGTGTTTGTTTGTTTAGGGTCAGAGGTCTGTGGGGAGAGTTCCCATTGTGCCTGGCCTCTGGTTCTGGGTGTGTGGCCCTCACTGATAGTATGCAGGGGAAATGCAGTTTTTTCTTGTTTAGGTGTTTCTGTGACCTTTGACAAGACCAAACTAATGTTAGAGTTAAGCTAAGCCAGGTTTAAATCCAGTTCTTAGCAGTGCTCCTGTTTGACAGGGGCTGGAGCACCTTGTCTGTCCCTGTGTGGGGACCCAGAATGGTGAGCTCTCCAGTGGAGGTGCCAGAGTTATAGAAAAATAAATTGAATTATAAATTGTAGGGTGGATTTGACCCTCTCTATTTGCAGAAGATGTCCTTTTGGCCCTCCCTTGGGGAATGCAGGAGCTTCTGGCAAGCCTGCTGTGCTCCCAGGGGATTGCATTTCCACGTGGGGGATTTGATCTGCTGGAACTGAGAGCAGGAGAGGGCGAGCCCTCAGGAGCAGCCTGCTCCTCTGTAACTCTGCCAGCTCCAGAACCTTCCTTGGGGCTGAGTGAGAGCAGTCCTTGGGGTGACATGGGCCAGTCTGGTGTCCTTGGGGTGACATGGGCCAGTCTGGTGTCCTTTCATCAGGGGCTTCTGCAGCTTGATCCTCCAGCTGGGGGAGGCTCTGGAGAGCCAGGCTGTGTCCAGGTGTGTTTTTATTAGGTGCAGGTGAGCAGACAGGTAACCTGTGTGTTGTGTTGAGGAGGAAGACTGGAAGGTGAGGCTGTGGGGTGTGGAACAAGCGGTCTGGCAGGGTGTAGAAATGGAAAGTGAGGCTATGGCGTGTGGAACAAGGGGTCTGGCAGAATTTAGACTGGAAGGCGAGGCTGTGGGGTGTGGAACAAGCGGTCTGGCAGGGTGTAGAAATGGAAAGTGAGGCTATGGCGTGTGGAACAAGGGGTCTGGCAGAATTTAGACTGGAAGGCGAGGCTGTGGGGTGTGGAACAAGCGGTCTGGCAGGGTGTAGAAATGGAAAGTGAGGCTATGGCGTGTGGAACAAGGGGTCTGGCAGAATTTAGACTGGAAGGCGAGGCTGTGGGGTGTGGAACAAGCGGTCTGGCAGGGTGTAGAAATGGAAAGTGAGGCTATGGCGTGTGGAACAAGGGGTCTGGCAGAATTTAGACTGGAAGGCGAGGCTGTGGGGTGTGGAACAAGCGGTCTGGCAGGGTGTAGAAATGGAAAGTGAGGCTATGGCGTGTGGAACAAGGGGTCTGGCAGAATTTAGACTGGAAGGCGAGGCTGTGGGGTGTGGAACAAGCGGTCTGGCAGGGTGTAGAAATGGAAAGTGAGGCTATGGCGTGTGGAACAAGGGGTCTGGCAGAATTTAGACTGGAAGGCGAGGCTGTGGGGTGTGGAACAAGCGGTCTGGCAGGGTGTAGAAATGGAAAGTGAGGCTATGGCGTGTGGAACAAGGGGTCTGGCAGAATTTAGACTGGAAGGCGAGGCTGTGGGGTGTGGAACAAGCGGTCTGGCAGGGTGTAGAAATGGAAAGTGAGGCTATGGCGTGTGGAACAAGGGGTCTGGCAGAATTTAGACTGGAAGGCGAGGCTGTGGGGTGTGGAACAAGCGGTCTGGCAGGGTGTAGAAATGGAAAGTGAGGCTATGGCGTGTGGAACAAGGGGTCTGGCAGAATTTAGACTGGAAGGTGAGGCTGTGGGGTGTGGAACAAGGCGAGTCTGGCAGGATGTAGAAATGGAAAGTGAGGCTTTGGGGTGTGGAACAAGGGGTCTGGCAGAATTTAGACTGGAAGGTGAGGCTGTGGGGCGTGGAACAAGGGGTCTGGCAGGATTTAGACTGGAAGGTGAGGTTGTGGGGTATGGAACAAGGGGTCTGGCAGGATTTAGACTGGAAGATGAGGCTGTGGGGGGTGGAACAAGGGGTCTGGCAGGATTTAGACTGGAAGATGAGGCTGTGGGGGGTGGAACAAGGGGTCTGGCAGGATTTAGACTGGAAGATGAGGCTGTGGGGGGTGGAACAAGGGGTCTGGCAGGATTTAGACTGGAAGGTGAGGCTGTGAGGCATGGAACAAGGGGTCTGGCAGGATGTGGCTGCACAGGAAAACCCGCAGGCCTCTGCTCCCTCTCGGACGAGGACGAAGAGGCGAACTCAGCCTTCTGCAGCTTCTGGCCTCTCTGCAGCCCATCAGACTGTCCCCAGGAGCGTTGTGAGCAGGAGGCAGGCTGAGCAAGGGGGATGGGGTGCAGTGCCTTAGCAGCCCTCCTGCTTTCCCTGCTGGCAGGCACCAGGAGCGCCGTGCTGAACACGGAGGCGCGCACCGTGGAAGCGGACGTGCTGAGCCGCCGCTGCGTCATGATGAGGCTGGTGGACTTCTCCTACGAGCAGTACCAGAAGGCTCTGCGCCAGTCAGCCGGGGCTGTGGTGATCATCCTGCCACGATCCATCTCCTCTGTCCCCCAGGATGTCGTGAGGGTAAACAGAAAAGTTTTCTTTCCCTTCCCGTGGGAGGTGCATTGGAGAAAAGCTTGGTTGCTGAAGGGCTGGAAGATTCTGTTGTAATGCACAATAAATTGTATTTTAATTCTAAAACTTCTCTCTCTGCTTTGGTTGTTGATTTTTTTTTTTTTTGACACCTCTCGTGTTCAGCAGATGCTAAGTTTGTGTCTCGCTTAAATCTTCAGCAATTCATGGAGATAGAGCCAGAAATGCTTGCTATGGAAACCATTGTGCCAGTCTACTTCGCAGTGGAGGATGAGGAGCTGCTGTCTATCTATGAACAAACACGGGCTGCTTCTGCATCACAGGGTTCTGCCTCTGCTGCAGAAGGTGAGTTTTAACAAGGAGGAAAAAGTTTTGAGGAAGACAGGCCTGTTGCCACCTCTGGGAGGAGTCTGCTGTGTCATCTGCACCATGAACCAGTGTTCTGTCGCCTTTGTGTTTATTCTGTCTTTGTCAAAGTGTTTAGAGATTCAGTGGAAGAAAAGCACAGTATAAGAAAGCATTACTTGACTATATTTGGACATACAGTTGCAGGAAGTTCTCAGCTTCACACTGTTTCAAGTAAGGTAGAAATCAAAACTAGGTTAAATCAACATTGAAAATGTTAAGTGATGATGGTGTGTTGGTGGAAGCTGAAGCTTTTTGTCTGACCACAAGTCAGTTTCATGCTTCCATGTAAATAATATGACTGACTTATTGACCTGCTGCTTATGACTAATTTTAGTACTGCTCAGGAAAAGTTTTTGACCAGCCAAAATACTGGGATTTTAGGACAGAATGAAAAAGCACCAAGATTCTGTGTCATTGCATAAACACCAGTGACAAGTGAGAGGGCTTAAATGGTTTAAAGCTGGTCTCTCAAAGCTCAGTTAGCAGGGGAAAGGAAGGGAGGAAACTTCCCCAGGTGTACAATGTGGGGTTTTTTGGTGTTTTTGTTTCAGTTCTGCTGCACACAGCAACTGCCAATGGCTTCCAGATGGTGACCAGTGGGGCTCAAAGCAAAGCTATCAATGACTGGCTCATCCCCAGTGTGGAGGTGAGTTGTGTATGGATTCAGCCTGGCAGCATTGATGAGGTGACTTCTTTTATTGGGACTTTATCAGACATTTGGTCTGACAGGGCAAGTCAGGGGAGTCTCAGCCAGGTATCTGAAGTCCTCACAACTGAGGCCATAGCAGATTCAGCAGGAATGTAGAAGTCAGGCTGTCCTTGTACAGGCACACAAGAGGTGATGAGGAGTGACACTGCTCTCTTTCCTTTTCAGGGAAGGCTGACAGGGCTGGGTGGAGAAGACCTGCCCACTGTTGTGATAGTTGCCCACTATGATTCCTTTGGAGTGGCTCCAGTGAGTATTCTTTTCTTGCAGCTCTCTGTTCCTTTTCCCTCTGCCCATGTGTCTTGGCATTAAGGCTGTGGGGCAGTTACAAATGGAGCACAGTGCTGTGCTGTTCTAATAGCTGAGAGTCAGGGTAGTTTGTCACCTTGTGTCTGTCCCACCTCATCCTGCAGTGGCTGTCCCATGGGGCTGACTCCAATGGCAGTGGAATCTCAGTGCTGCTGGAACTGGCCAGGCTGTTCTCTCGGCTCTACACCTACAGAAGGACCCATGCTGGGTGAGGAACTGCTCTGTTTGGGGTTAGATGTGTGTAGCTGACACGTGGAGGGGATGATGTGGGAAGCAGATTCCATCCTCAAGCACTGGGAGCTCCCCACTTTCAATTTGTCCTGCCATTGCCTGAGTATGTGCCATGTGGGAAGTGTTAATGGACAGTTTGCCTTGGATGTCAGGTGCAAGTGGTTGTGATTTCACCACACCTCCAGGGCTGAGTGCAGGAATTCTTGGAGTGCAGCATGCTAACCCTTTTCTGGCTTCTTTGATGGGCAGGTATAACTTGCTGTTCTTTGCATCTGGAGGTGGCAAGTTTAATTATCAAGGAACTAAGCGGTGGCTGGAGGATAATTTGGACCACACTGGTGAGTAAGGGGCTGGTTGTGTTAAAAGTCTATAATTAATTGTCAGCTCTCCTGTGAGAATCTTCTTCTGTCAGCCTTCCTTTTTTAGGGGGGTGGAAATCCCAGCACAAGATGTAGCAATAAAGGTTTGGATTTTTCTGTTCCAGATTCCAGCCTTCTGCAGGACAATGTAGCATTTGTTCTCTGCCTTGACACTCTGGGCAGAGGCAATAGCCTTCATCTTCATGTCTCAAAGCCTCCCAAGGAGGGCACCCTGCAGCATGCATTTCTGAGAGAACTGGAGATGGTAAGGAAAAGCTTTTTAGGTTTGTGGGAACTTGGGACTTACTATACAGCTCTCCATGAGAGGAAGGAAGATGTGAAGAAAGGGTGTGCTATTGAAATAATTCATATATTGTTTAGAATCACTTGATTTGAAGTGCATACAAATCCTCATGCCACAGTCCCAAGTGAAGCAGACTAGATCTGCAAATGCTACCCTGTACAGACATTAAAACAGCTCTTTTTGACCTGAAAATCCAGCTTTAATAATGTCAATAACTGCACCTCACGTTCTGGAGCGCACAGAAATGGGTGTAGGCAGACAGGGCAGTGCAGGGTGGGACTCTGCAGCGGGCAGCACCCCTGAATGGCCTCCCCTTGTCTTCAGGTTGTTGCCAGCCAGTTCCCAGAGGTGAAGTTCTCCATGGTGCACAAGAAGATCAACCTGGCAGAGGACATGCTGGCGTGGGAGCACGAGCGCTTCGCCATCCGGCGCTTGCCGGCGTTCACCATCTCACACCTGGAGAGCCACCGGGACAGCCTGCGCAACAGCATCATGGACAGGAGGTGAGGGGCCCTGGGCAGGCAGGGCTGGGCTTCAAATCCAGCCCAGAAACCTGCCCTCACAACTGCTCGTGGTGTTCTCATGGTCAGGGCACAGGTGACAGACGGTGGGAGTTGGGCTCTGGATTCAGGCTCAGTGAAAAGGGGTTGTTTCTGGAGGAAGGTGATGCCGTTGCAAGTCCATGATCTTCTCTTTTGTTTTAGGGCACGAATAGACACTAAAGCACTGACCAGGAATACTCAGATCATTGCTGAGGCTTTGACAAGGGTCATCTACAATCTAACAGAAAAGGTAAGAGGTGCCCACCATGCAGTGCTGGCCAGACTTGTCCTGCCCAGCCAAGCTCAAAAATAACCTTTTTCATTTTCTGTTGCAGGGAGCACCTGCAGATATGCAGATCTTCACAGATCAGATGGTAAGTGCAGTACATTCTTTTTGTAACCTGTGGAACCTAGAGTCTGGGAGAGAGCTCTGATGTGTGCTTGACTCCCTTTCTCTGGTGGTATTTTTCTGCAGGAAATCCAGCAGGAGCAACTGGAGTCAGTGATGGACTGGCTGAGCAGTCAGCCCAGGGCTGCCCAGCTGATTGATAAGGACAGCACCTTCCTCAACACCTTAGAATATTATATGGGACGTTACCTGAAGGATGTCAAGCAGCACCACGTGAAGGCAGACAAAAGGTAAGAAAAGATGTGAAAGAACCAGCCAGGGCATGCAAACTGGCTTCCCCCTGGACAGAATTTTGTCTCTGAGCTGCAGCTTTCCTGGGTTCTTGACATGCAGCTTTGTTCTTTTCTGCTCTCCTGTCAGTTTTGGTTCACGCTTGGTGTTCTCACAGAGAAAGCTGCTCGTGATTCCTCACAGCACAGGAACAAGGCCCAGCAGCTCCCTCTGTCTGAAAAGCTTGTTTTTAAACTGTTTTGGTTCCACTGTTCCCAGTCTGAGAGCAGGAGAGGGCTAAGTTTTGGTTAATTACAAAAAGGCAGCTTCCATCCTGTTGAACCTGCTCGAGCTGAAGCTGTTTTAGTGAACAGAGGGGAGGAATCTCTGATGTTCAGCCTCTTTGGAGACAGCTGAACACCAGCATGAGTTCTGAATTATGTCCTTGGGCTTCTGATAGTAGGAAAAGAAAGTCCTAATGACTAAAACCAGCTCACAACCAGTGTAGGGGGTGGTCATACTTGCCTGGTTGGATAAACTTGGGAGCAGCTCTGGGCTGTCCTGACTGCAGGGTCAAGAAATGCAACAGAATCTGAAAAATTTCTCCTTTGCACAGGGACCCTGAGTTTGTTTTCTATGACCAGCTGAAGCAGGTGATGAATGCATACAGGTATGGAATTCCCTTGGGCATGCTGGGCTGTTGTCTCACCCCCTGGCAGGACCTGCTGTATCAATTTCATGTGCACTTTTCCTTATTCCAGGGTCAAGCCAGCAATCTTTGACCTGCTCCTGGCTGTCTGTATTGCAGCCTACCTTGGTGTTGCCTATGTTGCAGTGCAGGTAAGAGACACAGATATATTATTTTCCTTATAAAAACAAGTTAGATTCAGGAATTCACACAGTGTCAGCACTAAAGCTGGAACAATAATGCCACTTACCTGTGCTGCAGGCAGTCTCTTGCCATTCTAGTGCAAACCTGTTTTTTAGAGCTGTTTCTTGTACTCAAGGACACGCATAACTCACTTGCTAATGTATTTTGGCTCCAAACTGAAACTTTACAACAAATTTACCTTGTTACCTTGGTAATTTAAAGGTTTGTAGCTTGTACTATTAGGAAATATTTGAACTTGGGATGCAGCTTAGAAATGCATCTTCAGAATTCTGCTTTCTTTTTTCAATGAAGCCAGAAATACATCCTGTGTCCATACCTCTGGAAATGTGATACTCCATGCCTTGGCCAGCCAAATTTAATGTTTTTGTGTCAGTGTTAACCAAGACAGTGTGAGCAAGGCTTTGTTCCTGCCTGGGGTCATGAAGGACATGAATGAAAGGGAAGCTTTTTAGGTCACTCTCAATTTTGACCACTTTGTGTTATTTGTATCTATTATTTGTTTAGGGAAATGATAAGCATTTTAAATGTGTAAGAATATAAGCAAAGGGAAAAACATACTTTGATTTCTATTAGCAATCGTCATTAGTTCTTTTATTTGAATTTGAAATTATTTGAAGCCTGAATCTTGTTACCTGTGTCAAATATCAAATCAAAATACAATCAACCCCAGCAAAATCAAAAGAAGAATTAAGTGAATTTCTAAGTCACTGGGGAAATGGTGAAAGAGAAGATCCAGTTAAAGAATTGTGAATTGCTGGGAATCTCTGTTTGCCTGGTTCATTTTTACCTTCCTGAAACTGCTGGCAGCAGTGTTTCTATAGAGACCAGGAACCTGCATGTGTTGAAATCTGAAGCTTTCTCCTCACCTTCAGAAGGAACAGAATTGCATTAAAAATGAAAACTAAAAAAATCTTTAACACATCTTCACAATGAGGTGATACAGACCTGCACAAACACTTCTGTAAGCCATCATTTTCTGTATAACTTGGCTTCCTTGTCATAATTCCTCATCCATCAAGTCCCACTCCATCTTCAGGATGAGTGGTTGATGCAAACAAGGCTCTGCATTTGCACACTGGTATTGTTTTAAGCCTTCTGCTAAGCTGTGTGTTTAGAACTGTCACAGTTACTTGTTTTCTCTTCTGTTTCCAGCACTTTGGTCTCCTTTACAAGATGATACAGAGATTATCCCTTAAAACCAAGCAGCAGTGAAGCACCAAGTCCCCCCACCCAGCAGCACTGAGCCATCGGTGAGCCCATTGGGAACCTTCTGCCTTCCACTGAACCCTGCTGTTCCTTTTCCTTTGTCTCCTCTCTGCTACTGTATAGAGGGGAGGAAGGCATAAAGAAAATGAAATTTTAACTCTTGTGCACCTTTGAAGTGCTTTTCTTCACCTTCTTCCCCTGACTTGCACCATGTCTGGTTTTCCTTTGCATTTGGGTGAGGGAGAGGCTGAGAGACTTCAGCAATTCCTGCAGTCTGATTTTGGGCAGCTTCTCTGAGTGTCACCCAAAGTCCAGCACCTTCATGGACACTGTCACACAGCCAGCCTGGAAACTGAAACTACAGCCTGACATGGTATCTCTGCCCAGCAAACAAGGACTTGGAGCAGTTGTTTAAAAGAAAAAACCAAAAAGTGCACATGCAAATTAAAGAGAATGCAATTAGCATGTTTCCTTATGGCACCTCTTCCTTGAGTTCACTGCCTGGCTTCAGGGAGTCGTGCTGAGCAAGCAGTGTCTGCAGCAAGCACCTTCTTGCATTTTGTTCAAACTCACCCCCTTTTAGGAGGTGCACTGGGAGTGATCTTGAGTGTTATTACCAGGATGAGGAAAGATTAAGATGGGTTTCTGGCATGAGGGTTCTGCTGGGACAGGTTCTGTCCTGTCTCTCTTGCAGGATGCATTTTGCTGTGTACTTGATTTCTCTGGAGGTTTTTGGTCCTTGAACAGTTCACAGCTGCCACCACTCTGTGCTAAACTCTTGCTTGATTTTTGAGGGGTGTTCCCTACTCCAGCTGCTGCAGGATCATGTTCTGTGCTGCCATGTACTTACACAAGCTGGTTCTGTTTATAACGAGAGAAGAGCAGCTCAGACGTGGAAAATTTATTGAAATACTACAAGCCCTAGGCTAGTTGTAGGTCTAGAAGATAACCCTGAGCACTGTCCTGCCACCCAGCAAGTTTTGAGTCCTTTTCTGTAACCTCTTCTGTGTACATGAGCTCTCTTCACATGCCACAGTGACAGTTTTTTAAAAATTTAAGCTACTACTTGTAATTAAAGCAGCATATCTTACAGAGGCTGAAAAGCTAATTTGAATTGAGGTGGACCTTTTTTCTTTTGAATGCATGGAAAATTTCAGCTGTGGATTCCTGTCTGCACACACCTGCTCTGCACGTGCTTGTCAGAAAAGGGGTTGTTGTGACCAGTCACTGTGCTTTGGATGGGCACCAAAGCACTGATTTCCATCCTCCTTTGTTTATTTTACTGTAATCTGCTTCCTGGAGTAGTACCCTTATCCCATGATTTGTCCTTTCTGCTACTTTAAATATGTAGCAATTTGTTCTTTAAAAGGTCTTGTCTTTTCCAGGAAAGCCTGCTGGTGTCAGTGGCTCACCGTGGTGCCAGCATGGTGCCAAGCACTCCAGAACTATCAGCCACACTGGGAAATCTGCCTTTTCCTCATCTTCTGAGTGCTCATTTGAAATGTGTCTCTCTGCATGCATGAAGTGCTCATGGCACTCCTCTGCCAAATGAATTTATAATGACTGCAGAAGTTGCTGGAGTGGCTGAAAGGCAAGCCTTGATTGTTTTCCACTGGTTTTTATGCTCTGCCCTTAGAGACTGCATCTGCTGTGCCCTGGGGAGCTGCATGCCCTGGGCTGGCTAGGTTTAGAACATGCATGGTACAGTGGCTCTCTGAAGAACTCTGCAGGCTCTGAGTATCTGGGAGTAGTTTGAGTCCTCCAGCTGCAGCATCCATTTCTGGTGTGTTACACTTCAGGAGGTGGTGTTCCCTCCAGTCTAGCAGATTATTTCACCAGTCTTAATCATTAACTCCATTACTTTGCTGAGAAAAATAGGAAAAGAATATTAGCAATGCTGTTGCAGCTTGAGTTGATGTGTGTAAAATTTGGCAGTAGTGGGCAAGAGTGAACAGAACAGACCTGGAGCTTGTTCCTTGCTGTGGAAACTGTCAGCCTTCAGTCTTCCAGATGAGCAGCTCAAAGTTCAGAATCAAAAACTTCCACCCAGTCTGTTTGCAGAGGCTGTAGCACAAAGAAACACCTTAGCTCTGTGTGGTCTCAGCAGTGAACTGTTAACACTCCTGATGCAGTGCCAGAAGCCAGTGGAAACAACCTAAAATAAAGATGGGTAAGATCAATGAGGAGAGTTCATAAACCTGAGGGGCAGTTGGGATGGCACATTGCTCTCTCCCACACAATGGTAGTTTGTCCTGTAATCCTTTTGTGTCTCTCTCCCTGGCTGCCATAAAAAGTAGTTTTTACAACAGATAAAAGAGTTTTTGCTTTTGATCAAAGTGCACGTGCACTGAAACATAAATGCTCAAATCTGAGCTAGTCAAATCCCAACTTCCTCGTAGCTGGAGCAGTGTGGCCATCCTGGGATTGAATTTAAATCCCAACTTCCTCATAGTTGGAGCAGAGTGCCCATCCTGGGATTGAACTTAGTTCCCACATTGTTGTTTCCTTAGGTAAGTCAACAGAGAAGCTTGCAAAGAGCCCCTGGAGCTGATCTGCACTGCAGCATAACTGATCAATTCAGCCACCAACACAAAGGCAGAAATGCAGTGATAAAATAAAAGTTCTCCACAATGTTCCAGAAGAGCTGTGTAGCTGATTCTTATTGCCCTTATTTTTACCTATCCTCTTTTTCTGAGGAGTTTGCCTGGCCTGTAGGGAAGAGCATGGAAAGCATTATATCCACATCCACACAAGTGGCTAGCAGTTGGTACTTCTAGCCAGAAATCCATTTTCTTTGCTATTTATCTGACTTCAGCTGTTGTCCTGGTGCTGTCAGAGTCTGCAGCTCACAAAGAACTGGTTTTCCATCAGGGTTTAACTGAAACTGTTAATTCCTTCTGCCCACTTCCACCTGCATGGACATTATTGGGAATTGTTTGGGAGTAATTTGGATTATTGTAGTTCATCTCCCAGATGAGAGGGGTTGGTTTATTATTGGGAGAGAAGTAATGCTGTGCAATATGAACTCTACTCAGTGCAGAGAAAATCCTGAAGCCAGAATGGAATTAGGTCTCCCACTATCTGTGGCTGAAAGTCACCACAATCTATTTAGACACTCAAAACCACAGCTATACCCAAAATTGCTGTGGGGCTTGGTTTTGAGGGTGTTTTGTTTGTTTTAAATCTCATGCTCTTACATTGTTCATGGCCCAAGCCCAAATCCCAGGCTGCTCCTGCACCCCGTGTTTAAGCTGGGTTTCACATTTCATTTGGTCTTGACTCGCCAATCTGAAATGCTGGGGCTGCTCCTGGATGTCTCAGAAAATTGGGCCTCTGGGTACTTGACTGTAGACTCCTGCTTGCTCACTTTAATCTGTTTAGTTTCTATTTGTAGTTACTGCATAGCAACTCCAAGGTTATAATCTGGAATATTTGCAGCTCAGGAAAATGATTTGATTTATCTAGCAATGTTAACTCAATTATTTATCTCTTGTGTGCCCTGAAGAACAAATGTATATTGAGGTGAATATTTAAAAGCTAATAGAAAATTCAATGCAGTTGATTTACATATTTTAGGACTGTAAATGTAATAATATTTAAGTATTTTAACTTCGGGTTTTTTATTTGTTTGTCCCTTTTTCCCTTGGAAAATAAACCAAGTGAATAGGTTTGATGCATAGATTTGTCAGAGATCTATTTGCTCACAAAAATGGAATCTCCTTGCATTATTTAGAGGAATAGACACCTCTACAAAATGGGAGAAAATCTATGTATTTAAAAGCTTCATCCAGTCTAGTCAAAGTGTAAAATAGTGACAGAAAACATTTACACACTCCAAGCATGATTCCAGCACCTTGAGGTGAGCAAATTCCTGTTTATTCCGAAGGTTTGTGCTCATGTGAAGCAATTAAAGATTCTATGCAAAACAGCTTTGGTACTGTGAAAAACTGCTTACCTCAGCAGCCAGGACTGTGTGCTCATGGAGATTGTTGTCCTTACCCAATGCCTATTTGAACACTAAACTATTTATTCCAATTACAAGCATTGCAAGAGATCTGTTCCCTGGCCATGAGTTTGTCAGAGTCGTGGTCAGAGGTGTGGAGTGGCAGAAGGGGAGAGCTGGATGTGCTCACCCTGATGCTGAGTTCAGCACCAGAATCCTGAGGGCTTCTCCTTGGGAAAGAAACCCTTCCAGCACCAGCAGTGTGTGGGGCTGAGCAGTGTCCCCACGGTGACACAGGGTGGTGACACACGCAGCCCTTTGTCACTATTTAATAAGAAATGACAGAGTCATCAGAAAGCTGAGTGGCATAAGCACATGTCTTTACTTGGAACCACTTCTTTTATACACTGGTTGGTACAGGTGGACCTGACTGGTCATTTAATCAATGCATTTCACCTGACTGAAAATCAGGTATCCTCAAAATACATTTGAGGAACGGCTGAGGGAGCTGGGGGTGCTCAGCCTGGAGAAAAGGAGACTCGGAGGTGCCCTCATCACTCCTGAAAGGTGCCTGTGCTCAGGTGGGGTTGGTCTCTTTCTTCAGGCAGCACTGACAGAACCACAGGACACAGCCTGAAGCTGCACCAAGGGAAATTCAAGTTGCATATTAGGAAAAAGTTTTTCACAGAAAGGGTGAAAAGTTCTCGAATTGCTGCCTGGGGAGGTGGTGCAGTCACCATCCCTGGGTGTGTTTAACAAAGCCTGGATGTGGCACTGGGGGCCAGGGTTTAGTTGAGGTGTTGGGGCTGGGTTGGACTCAATGAGCTTGAAGGTCTCTTCCAACCCAGTGATTCCGTGATTAGCTAATTAACAAGATGCCCATTTATAACCAATCTTATGAGAATAACAAGAGAACAGATATTAGGAAAACAACACCTGCAGGTTGTTTTTAATAATTGGTTATCATTGTTTATCTCCAGCTCCCTAAAGTCTCGCAGGCCCATTCTGGGAAGCCTTACCTGCTTTCCTTGCTCTCTGACCAGGCTGTCACATCCACAGTGCCCGCAGGTCCTGAGGCAACAGGAGCATCTCCCAGTGCCATCCACGGCCTGGCTCTGCCGCTGTTCCCAACTCTGGAAAGGTGTCATCATTGTTCTCTCTACACAGGTCTCCCCTCTACCTCCTCTGCTTGTAACTGCACTTCTGGAGCTGGGGTGCCCAAACTCACAGTGCATTGCTGGGGTGCCCAAACTCACAGTGCATTGCTGGGGTGCCCATGAGCTGGGGTGCCCAAACTCACAGTGCATTGCTGGGGTGCCCATGAGCTGGGGTGCCCAAACTCGCAGCCCTCTGGCGCAGGCGGGGCACGGCGGCCCCGGATGCCGAGCAGGGCTCAGCCCTTGCACGCTGCGGGGCGGGTGTGGGCTCGGCAGCCCCGTTCCAGCTGTTCCAGGGCTCTGCTTCCTTCTCTGCTTCCCTGCCGGCAGCGGGGACACGTGGCTGCCTGTCCGCGGGGCCCTGGGGCTGCTGCTGGGGATGCCGCGGTGCCAGGAGGATGCCAAGGTGCCAGGAGGATGCCGAGGTGCCAGGAGGTCCTGGCTCCTCACACCAGGCTGCTCAAAGTGGTGACGTGTCTTTCTAGAAAAGAAAGAAATGTCTTCTAAGTCAAAGGAAAGGTTGAAAACGAAGGTGGCAGAAGAGACGCTGGGACAAGGCAGTGAAGAAGAGGGAGTATTGCAGTGATGGAGAGCAAAGAGCTGCTCTAGAAATGTATCATCAATGTTCTCTCTACACAAGTCTCCCCTCTACCTCCTCTGCTTGTAACAGTGCATTTTTGGAGCTGGGGTGCCCACTGTGCCCTCACAGCCCTCTGGCACATGGAGCAAAACCCTACAGGCTGAGGGGCAGCTCATTGTAGGCTGGGTTTAACACAGGCTCTGTCGTGTCATTATCACAGAATCACAGAATTAACTAGGATGGAAAATACCTTTGAGATCACCTATAATTATGTCAGTGCCCTCTTTGAAGGGAAGGTCACTGTGGACAGCAGGGAGTTCTTTGCTCACAGGAAGGGGGGTGTGAAAGAGAAGAAGAAGGTGCAGCTGCCTTCCCTGGATGGAGACTGGGGCTGTGGCAGCCACCCCACTCCAGCTTAGCCTGGCTCTCAGTGCAGGGAGACCTCTGTATGCCACACTGAGAGACTGGGAATTTGTACCAGAGAACAACCTGTAAGGGCTGTGGGACTCGTGAAAGGCAATTGAAGATTTTATTCTCAGATGGTGCTTCTGTGATAGCATTGACTAGTTCTTGATAGGGGTGCTGAAGTGCTGATACTGACTTCCATTTGATTAACCATCTTTCAGATGGCTTGTACTCCTCATGCTGGCATCCTCTCTGTTTCCTCCACGTGCCATTCTGGGTTTTTTCAGTGAAGGTATTATTCTACTTTAGCAACTGGTTTCTGTAGAGATTAAAAGGATTATTAAAAGGAGAGGCAGACAAACAACTCTTAGGCACCCTTCTCTGTAGGTTGCTGTTGGATTTCCTTTTTAGGAGAGTGCTCTGTGGTGGTTTTTTCTCATGGTGTGTTCCTAAATACTCCTGCTCTACAGAAGCAGTCAGGCAGCAGTCTACTCCAGGTCATGGGAAGGGCACGCTAGAATATGAATCATTCAAAGGAACTGCTAATTAGGAGGCCTGTTAAATAGAGGGGAAGTTAAAGAATATCCCTTTCCCTGTGGCAGAGAAAAATGACAAACTACAGAAAGATTGGAGAGAGGATATTTTATGCTCGAGCTCTAAATGGATCCCACTCTGCAATCAGCTGCAGCAAGCACTGCCTTCCTCAGCAAGGCTTTTCCAGACCTTACAACAGCTTGCGTCTTCCATCTATTTTTGGTTTTTCTCTTGCCCTGGTTTCCATAGTATCTGAATGCTTCATGCTCTTAAATATATCTGACACTTACAGCACCTTGGTGAAGTAGGAGGTACAAAGGGCCTTGCTCTTTGGAGCTGCTGGAGCTGGAACAGCCCAGGGATGTGTGGAAGATGTGGGGTGGAGTCCTGAGTGAAAAATGTGCTTTTCTAGAGGCTGGATTTGTCACTGCTGGGCTAGGGGGAGCAGGAGAAAAGAAATCCCCATCAAACTTCTGAAAAATATTTGAAGGGCTCAGTGGTGTAGCTGCTGGGAGCAGGGGTGGAGATGAGTAGATCTGGTGATTGCCACATTCTCCTCTAATCCTCTCTGCTTTCTTCACGTGCCACATTTCTTTCTCTCAGGTAATGAGAACATGAGGACAACTAGGTTGTGTCCTGAAGCCAGGTTGCTCATGCTGTGGGCTTATTCCTGTAGAATATTTTTAATATAATATCTTAATACAGTGTAATGGAGAGTAATGGGAAGATAGAGAATTGACCGAAAAGAAAAAGATGAGTGAGAAGCAGATGCTGTAGGGATGACCCCAAGATTCTAGGAATGCTCAGTCCTTTTATTTTTAAGGGATACCCAGATGACAGCATGTGACAGAAACAACCATCTCTGTGCTGCTGGAGTGTTTGGGGAGCAAGGGGAAAAGCCAGATCAGCAGAGCTCAATGTCTTTGCTGATTAAAACCAGGTCCAAACTGAACTCAGTCAGCTCAGTTGAATAGTGCATGATTGTGGAGCTGAGGACTTGCCTCTCATTATTTGGGAAAGGACGGCCCTGTGCCATTGTTTCCTGACCAACTTGCTTTCAAGCTTTGGAAGAAACTGCTTGCACACAACCCAAACTTCTTCCACGAGGTGGTGCGTTTTTATTTTTTTATTTGGGTTTTGTTTTGTTTTTGAAATCAATCCTCAAAGAACAGCTGCTTTTGATCACAAAGATATCTGGAATGTGTGATGGTCACTTCCAGTTCACCCACTGTGACAACTTGGGTCAAAAAATCCACAAGCCTCAAAACTTAGTTAATTTTTGGGTTCTTGCAAAGTTGAAATGTTAAAACTCCCTCGTTCTGAATTGGTTGGTAAAACAGATATTCAGTGAAAGCTAAACAGCAAGGTCTTGGTGGACAAGAGAGGATAAAAGCTGATGGCAAGTTATATCCTTTTACACAGGATATTTTTCTCTTAGGCTGGCAGTCTGGCTGCAGAATCTTTTACACCAGACAAGAAGCAATCACATTAGAGGAATAACTTTTATCTCCCTGAGATACTGTCTTATTGCTTGGATATTTTCTGCCAGGACTGTCTTACCTAATCCTGTGGCTCTTCTGCCTAGGGAACAAATAGGTAAGGAAAGGCAGACTGTTTTCAAGGACCTTTTTTTTTCCCCCCTCTTTTTTTTTTTTTTTTTTTTTTTTTTCCTGGGCTGTGGTGAGGATTTTCTGCCTTAAATGGTGTCTCCTAGGTGATGTGGAAATTCAGAGCTCCAGCTTGTATTTTCTCCATTCCTCACTGCCTTTAGGAGCTGGAAGGACTAGGCAGGCACTGTAGCAAAATGTACCTGGCTGTTCCTGCACCATTTGTTTGAGCCCTTTTCAGATTTGGGCCACTGGACTGGACCTCTTCACCTTTCATCTTAAGCTGCCCCATCTAAATACAAATACTCATATGCCACAAGAAACCAGGCAAGTCTAGATGTGTGTAAGGAAAATATTTTGGGTGTTTTTCACTAGCAAATATCTCTGCAAAAGAGCAACTTGTTGGGTATACAATGTGATTTTCTTCTAACACTTCTTTTTTGAAGCAGCATCTCAGGTTTGGGCAGAATCTGTCCCCTCACCCCTGGGAATTGTGCATCTGAGCTCTGCTGTGCTCCTTCTAGCACTCTTGTGCAGACTCCTCCATGACAGATGCAACATGTTTCTTCTTCCTCTGCACAGGTGACCTCTCCTTTCCCTTTTTCTCCATCTTGGTGCTAAGATTCCTTTTATCTTCCCCTTAATCCTGTTACTCTGGTATGTAATTCTTTGTCTGGCTCTGTAAACCCCAGGTGCTGATTG